TTTATTATTACGATTTTATTTATTTTTTTTTTTCATGAAAAAAAGAGTATTGTTAACACAAATATGTTTATGAATCAGCTGAAAGCTTACATATCCTTGTAGGTAATAGGCTGTGACGCAAAAGTTGTCAACGAAATCAGAAAGTTGAAGGACGTGGAGTCAGTAAAGGCAGTTATGGGTACAGTCAACACAGCAAACAAGTCGCTGATTATGCTAGCGTTACACAGTGGCTTTCCAAAAGTCCATCAGCTGAAGCAGATAATGCAGGTCTGTTACTTTTATACAATATAAAATTATAATTTATTTATGTTCAAAACGTACTTGTAAAAACCTTTACTCACAACTGATATTTTTATCAATAATTTAGGATGACCTAAGCGAGCACATCGAGATGGCCGAGATGTTTATACACCAAGAGAAGTACGAGGAAGCGTTGAAGATCTTCGAGAGGGTATTGAAGAAGAGAACGGAGATATTGGGAGCGAGCAATCCCGACACTCTGGACATCCAAAGCCGTATCGCCAAGCTGCTGTACAAGCAGCAAAAGTACCCGGAGGCCCTCGTTTTGCTCGAGGAGATTTACGGCAGGCAAAACGCCATGTTAGGCTCGAGTATAAAAGACACCCTCGGGACCAAAAGTACGATTGCACTGATCATGCACAGGCAGGGCAAGAGTGAGGAAGCTTTCAAACTATACGAAGAGATATACATGAAGCAGAGGGAGACTGCCGGCGTACCTGACAACGATATCCTTAACACGCGCTTTCACATGGCCGTGGTGAGTTAATTTTTAATAATACCTTTTTTACCTCCTGTATCTTTGGGCCTGACTTATCTTTAACTTTCCGTGCCATACCTGTTGATGGCTTTGTTTTTGTCTTTGAAATTACTTTTCTTGTTTCCCTCATTCACCACCTAAATTATAAATTGTCAGGGATGATTAATTGGTTATTTTATTCTTTCATCCATCCATATGTATCATTAAGGTGCTAGAGGGTTTGGGCAAGTACGATGAAGCCATGGCGATTTTCAACGAGGTCTTAGAGAAGCAGAAGAAGTCGATGGGTATGCGTGACCCAGAGACCATTACGACCCTTAACAATATAGCCGCTCTTCTCGAACGCACGGGCAACAGCGACGAGGCCCTCAAGGTCTATCGAAAGGTGTACGAGGTGCGCAAGATAATACTCGGACCAACGCACTCCGACACCCTCAAGACGTTGTTCCACATAAATTCCGTGCTCGTTCACCAGGGAAAATTCAGGGAGGCACTGGAGGCTTACGAGGATCTCCTCGACACTCAGCGAAACGTTTTTGGACCCAAGCACATAATTACCCTCAATACCTGGCACAACATCGCCCAGACGTACATGTACTCTGGCAAATACGTAAGCGCTCTGAAGATCCTGACGTCGTGCCTTGGTCCAAGAAAAGTCATATTGGGCGCCGAGCATTCCGACATCCTACGGACCGAGCAGATCATCGAGCAAATTCAATTGAGTCTGAAACTCGAGGGTGTCCAAAACAACATTATGCAGAGTTTCGAGTCCGAAATGAAAATGGCAATCGAGAGAGGGGATGTTAAGTTTATGGAGTATCTCTTTAAGCACATGGTCGACGTTAACGAACAGGATCCGGATGGCAGGACTCTGTTGCACTTCGCCGTGAGTTCAATGCTAACTTGTCATATTATTTATCAATCGATAAATTATGTACTGTTAATTTTATTTAATCAGTATTATTAGTACTTTTAAATTTAGGGTTGATAATAATTGAGACGGTGTAATACATCGATTTTTTATCTAAGGTGAACCTTGGACATGAGGACGTCGTGAGTATGCTGCTCAAGAGCGGGGCCATTGTCACCAAAGCGACGAACAAGGGCAACACACCGTTGCACACAGGTGCAGTAAATTTTCATTTTATTAAAATCATTGATTTATTTCTCGTCATTTATGACATCTTTATTTTTAGGAACATCACGAGGATACAAAAATATAGTCGAGATACTCCTGAAGCAGGTCAACCGGGACAAGCTTAATGACTTTATCAACGCGAGGACCAGCGTTAACGGGATGACAGCCCTTCACGTTGCGGCGCGCTGTGATGACTACGATATCATAAAAATCTTATTGAAGCACGGGGCCGTTTATGACATCAGGAACAACGAGGACAAGCGGCCGGTTGACTTAGCCAAGGAACCCGAAGCGCTGAGATTGCTTCAATCGATCGATGAGCTCTTTCAGCGAGCAAAGCAAGGCGACGACAAGCTCGTCGAGAGTCTGAAAACTGTCGAGCCTGAGGAGTTCAAGGCCATGACGAACACGCGCGATCATCAGGACAAGTCGATCTTCCAAGTTGCCTTGGTCAATAAGCATCCTCAGCTGGCGGGGAAGCTGCTCAAGCTCCTCAAAACTCAGAATTCGAATTAGTGAGTATACGTTGCATGATCATATAATAAATAACAGCAGTTGTTATGGTGGTGGTGATCATAGTCGGTCGTGACGTCATGTAAATACTATCATTGTATGGTATTGTTCGTTTATTGTTGTTGTTTTTTTGTTTAATACAAGTGATATCATGAGAAAAAGTGTGTTACTTAGTTTTCATTCCAAGTTCAAGCCATGCTGTGAATTTAACGGACAATAAAAAATGATGTTGAGCCGTTATAATTATATTTGATACGATGTTGTTTATGGTGATGATAATCCTTTGATGGGCTTATTTTCCAAGACTGTGTGGTTAATTGTTCATTCCAATGATGCAGTATTTACAAAAAGTAAACGAAAATAGCTTTGTCATGATTTTTTTATCATAAAATAGGTTTTAGAAAAAAAAGGATTGTTACATTTGTAAGTGTGTTGTTGATTTGAATCGTTAAATAAAAGTGAAACGACTTTTCTTGCATTTAAAGTAGTTTATTTTTATAAATGATGGAAAAAAAGTAATCAAAGACAATTGGCAAAAAACGAATGGTTCTGAATGCTTTGACGACCTGTTTAAAAACATGTACAAATAAGCTTTAAGTGTGTTTGTGTTACCATGAAAAAAAAGAATCAATACATAAAAAAACAAAGGAAGTGAGTGATCTGAGCAATTATTGCAATCTCAAAATCAAGTTGAACTTTATTGTTAAAATTAAAAAGTAACTGACATCAAGATAATATGTGTTAATCATTGTCTCTGTTGAAGTAAGTTTTATAATTTCATACTTTTAATGTAAAATTGTAATTAATACGATGTAAGGTTTTAAAAAAACTGAGATTTGATGAATGCGTGCATTGATGCTATTCATCAATTCAATATATGTACAATTTATAAATATGCTGGAAGTATTTATTGTAGGAAGAAGGTTAATAAAATAAATGTTAAGACAGTGTGGTACAAAAAACATTGATTATATATATTTGACCGAATATACATAAAGGTTGTAAGTTTCTATATACTTAGTATAAATTACTATGTTACTCTACATTTACCTGTCTCTCAACAAATCCTAAAAATGACATTGTAAGTTACAATGAATTTCTAATTTTTTTTTTCATCATGTTGATTTACAAAAAAACAAGTTGCACATTATTTCGTTTATCGGTTTTTTTTCAGTCGATTTTTTAAACATAAATGCAGAACATTGTTTCATAGTTAAAGTATCACTTGGATAGATCCAGACTGGCAGTTAAGTAAACATAAATCATCTAAAAATGCAGTCGACCATATTCATACCTGTACAGACAATACATTAGTTAAAGTTTCACTCAAGATGGGTATAAAATATTTTTTTTATTTCAAATTTAGACCTAGGCTCGAAAATCTTTTCTTGCTCACATTTATCCGTTATTCATACACACATTTAATATACGGATTTATACATCTATTATATAATATAATTATAAAAATTATCGTACACGCATCTTTAAATTACACAAATCATTATCATTAATTATTTATCGCTTCGTTTTCTCTATATTATCATTACATTTTTTGACTCGTAACTAAAATATTTTTTTTTCTCTATATGATTTTTTTTCGAATAAAATCATTTTGAAAATAAAAAGTTTACAATTTTCAGTTCACTCGATAAATTTTTTTATTAGCATGTTCAGAAAGTCTTATACATCTATATTCTATACACCCAACGTATAGTAACGTATATAATTACACGTACGCACGTTGAAATATAACTTTAGTAAAGTACTTATAGATATTTTAAAGCAATTAATAAGTCAAACATTTCAACATTAACAAATAAAAATACTTACAATTTCTGTTTATTCATATACATATATTTTTTTTTAATTTGAGTAACATAAATTATTTCATGATATTGGTAATATTAAAGAGCGAATAAATTATTGCTCTCATTACGATACAAACCATCGGTAGTGTCATAGGTGCATATTTTACATCACTATCAAGAGTTTAATACAAAAACAATTTGTTTCATCTTTTTTTATTAGGGATAAATGGCAATATTCATATGCAGCTTTTGTAAAAGAAACAGTGAATCTGTTATCTATTTGGCAGATATTTCGTAGACTTGAATTTTTTTTATAACATATTTTATACATTATTTATTTTCTTTAAGTAAACTCCTTAAAGAAATAAATGGCACAAATAATTAAAAAAAAAAAAAAAAAAAAAAAAATGCTGATAAGTCATTCCCAAAATGTTATTTAAACTTTAATTGACTGAGTATCTACAACGTGTAATTTAACTCATAACAACGTAACTCCTATGACAAAACTACCCCTATTACTACTGTACAGTTTATATGGAAAAAATGTTTACCATTCAATGATGTTTATACAAAAATTATGTATAAACTGGTGAAAAAACCGAAAATATCATTTACTTTAAAAGTATAATCAGTTTGTTCTCACGTGCACAAAGATTTTAATACAGCTGGCACTAGAGTGCTAATTAATCATTTAGTCTTTAAAAAAAAATCAGTCAATCAAAAGTTCTTCTGGTAAACCAGTTGACGTTTTGTACAGTCCTTACTGTAATAAAATGCAGCTCACAAAATTCACGGTTTTAAAATTTGTGCTCTGAAATCAGACTTTTGTCACCAAATAAGTATTTCATACTTCAAATTTGAAATAATTTAAAAATATATTACCACTTGATACCACAAGGTAATACAAAGCTATTTTACACCGGGTAATGGCAATCAATAATGATAATCAAAATACAGCTTACGTCTATACGATTAAAATAAAAAAGCTTCACTCTAGATAGTTCGTTTAAAAAATTTCGAAATTTTAATATTAATTTCATTATCTTTTCTTTTTCTTCTTTTTAAAATTTATTTTACACATATTTACGTAGAGTTTTCTTTTCCGTACAGTAAAGTCAAATTTCTCTGTTCCGTCGTCCCGACAGATCCATATACAGAAACGAAAAACAATGCAGTGTGTATACACATACAGTAATTCCAAATTCCAACCACTCGCGTTTCGACACATTCACGCATCGTATAAAAACCACTTGCACTACAATGCACAACGAAAAAACACGTTACATAGGTAATTCAATGCTTCGAAAAAAACGGTTCGAAACAGTCGTTATTGCGAGCGCCTGTATAGCTATACAAGATTATTGTGTCTCTCTCTCTCTTAGAAACGAAAGCGAGCTGAGTTTTGGTAACGGACAGCTCGGTGCTTACTGTTTCGAAAGTCTCGTTTCGATGAGCACTTTACTGGGGTCGGGTAGCCTGACTACTAGCTGAGCACCGTTTTGCATCGGCCGCGTACCGTTTGGTGGCATCGCTGGACCATTGGTCTTCAAACAACTTGGGACTGCCGGCTGTTGTTGCTGCTGTAGATGAGGCGCCACAGGGAGAACCTTTTTCGCACCACTAAGTTTCGGCGAACAGCACTGCTTGCCGTCTTCAGGGTAATCGGTCTGGTAGGTCTGCTGATGGGCTTTTATCGGCGTCCCCGGCTGCTCGCCGTAGTGCTGCAAACCATTGCTGTGGAAGTTGCCGGTCATCTTGTGCATCGACCCATCCGTCGACGGCACACCGTACAGCGATTGTGGCTGCTGTTGTTGCTGGTTGTTTCTGATAAGGGAATCGTTGTTCTTGTTGCCGAAAAGCGGCGCGGAGAGTTGCGTCGAGTTGGTCTTGTTGGTGCTCTTGTGGCTGCTACCCGAGTAACTGGTCATCGTCTCGTTGCAAAAGTCATTAAGGTACGTTTGATTGGCGTACCAGTTGTGCAACCGATGATGGATCTCCGGGAACTGCGGTCGGCGATTTGCCACCTCGTGCCAACACTCGATCATCAAGCTGTAGATCATCGTTGGACAATCTTCGGGGCAAGGCAACAGTTGACGCGAACGAATCATGTCGATTACCTCGGGATTGTTGTACCCATAATATGGCTGTTGACGAAAATTTGCATTCATTTTACTTTGGTATCATTGAAGGATGACAAATTTAAACAAATGGATTTTTCGAAATCCACGTAGTCCAGAAAACGGATGTGTACTTTGTGCAAGACTATATGCGCATAAATTTTGGTATACCTGTAAGCCGTAGCTGTAGATTTCCCACAAGACCACCCCGAAGCTCCATACGTCGGATTCCGTTGTAAATTTGCCGTAGAATATTGACTCCGGTGGCATCCACCTCACAGGAAGTAGACTCTTTGATTGCACTCGGTAGTAATCGCTGCTGTAGATGTCGCGAGAGAGGCCAAAGTCGGAGATTTTCACGGTCAAGTTTTCACCGACCAAACAATTTCTGGCAGCCAGATCTCTGTGGACGTAGTGGTGACTGGCCAGATACTCCATTCCTGAGTAAAAAAAAAACAAAAAACGCTTTATAACCCTGAGGAGTTGTTGCAATTTAACCCCGCAAATGACCGATGTATTTCCTATTTATAATTTACCGGAAGCTATCTGCAGAGCAATGTGGAGAAATTCGTGCTGTTCCAAGACCTTTCCGCTCGAGTTGTTGAGAGGGATGTCCGATCTCGGCGAGTGGCTGATCAAGAACTCGTGCAGATCGCCTTGAGTCATGTACTCGAACAACATGCACATGGGCTCACCGTTGAGTATGACACCCAGCAGACATATGATGTTCGGATGCCTGAGATCGGTCATGAGATCGACCTCTCGCTTGAAATCGTTCTGAGTCTTCGGACTCGCGTTTTCCTTCAAAGTCTTCACCGCCACGTAAATAACTTCATCGGTTTTGTTTCCCGTTTGCAACTCGCCTTTGTAAACTTTTCCTGATGTAAAACCAAAATCAAAACATTGTATGTCATGCACGACAAGTGTTTCGATTGTCAATCCGAATGTCTCTCACCGAACGCCCCTTCTCCCAGTTCTTGCAACAACACGACGTTATTCATTGTAAACTGCGGCACTCGGTTGTTGGAAGTTCGGCTGCTTCCGCTGCTCAGAGTACCGGTTCCGGGTGTCGTGTTCCCGGGACCGGCTAGCAACGAGCTCATCTCCATGGGCTGCGTGTTGTTTCGTCTTCCGTCGTAAATATTTTTGTCACTTTGCAATCCAGTCAACATCTGCAACGACCACATACAGTAGCCCGTCAGTACATTTTTTTATATACATATATACTTATACAGTAAAATATATGTGTAAAAATTCGGCTGACCTTATTCATGGGCAAGTGATTAGTCTGTCTTCTGGATTTTTTGCTTCTGTAGCAACAACAATAACAAACCAGTATAATTACAAATCCTCCCGTGAGTACAAAACCAACAACAGCGTAAACCCACAAGTTTTCAACTGAAAAATGAGGAAGAAAAAAAAAAAAAACAAAGATACACGTTAGACAATATCAACAGTCATTTGAGATTTTTTGGATTCGAGTGTTTAACGTGCAAGTCCACTCACCACATTTAGGTATATAACAAAGTTCCTTTTGCATGCGGTTATTCACGTCTACGTAACACCAGGGCTGCAACTCCGTACTGCCCGGGTTTCGGCAATACGAGTGGCGACCCGCCAGTTCCGGGTAATCCGAGATCTGAAGATTAAACTGATTTATCCAGGGCTGACACGGCTTGCCGGTTATGCTCGTCTTGACCACACCGCGGTACGATTTTCCAGTACCCCAATAACAATAATCGTCTGCAATGATTCAAATTCATTTCTCAAATTATGATATCATTCTTTCCTCTCATTGTGCGGAAAAAAAAGACAACTTTAAGGGGTCACTAAAAAAGAGGGAAATTTTATATTTATTGAGAAACTACGTTTAGGAAAGTTTTTTCTAAATCACGTGAGCAACGATTTTTTCATTCTGTTAGTCTGATTGAAAGTAATTTTTATGATTGAAAAAAAAAAAAAAAAAAAAAACAAAAAAAGCGACTTACTCTCTTGAACGTTGCTGTCCGTGGAGATTCCCAGACTCATGCAGTCAGCTGCCTCCGGGGTGCCTTCGGGAGGAAGATCCGAGCACTCAACGAGCGGCAGTTGTCTGCCGATTTCCGGGTGTCGTTTGCCGATCGCGTATTCCCTCCTGCACAAATCGTCCTCGAGTATTTCGCACTCCTTGCGGCAAATTCGACGCAGCTTACGATTCAGCGCGTCTTTTTTCGCCGAGTGCGAGTCGCCGTAAGTCGTGCTGATGATCTTCCGAGTTGACCCCCCTGAAACGAGGACAACAAGTGTTTCAACACTTACTGAAAAAACCAATCCAATCTGAGCTTGCAAAGATCTTTTGATTTGACGTAAAAAAAACTGTTCAAAGTGAGTCATCGGGGAAAAAAGAAATAAAGCACACCTCCATGATCTTTGCGCGATAAATCGGTATGAAATTCAAACTTGGAAGGTGTTTTCCCAGATCTCACCTCTGTCTCTGTTCTCCATCGAAGGATCGAAGCTCGATCGGTACTTGGCTCCTCGTTTCCGCGGGACGCCATGCCGCGACAGATCCACGATCTGATCCTCGCCGTCGACTTCCTCGAAATCCTCCTGCTGGTTCGATTTGAGCAGGTGGAACAACTGGGTGCTGGGCTGCTGGTTTTTGGCAGAGTTCCGGCAAATCGGGAATGTCGAGTAACACAGGGATGGCTGCGCGTAGCGCTCACAGTTCGGGGATAGGTCCCTGTGGGACGAATCGAACGACAAAATTTATTTCCCACTCTCAATTTTACTTACAAGCTGTCATTTACCATTGATCGTGCTGTGTTACGAAATTTCTATTCCAGTATAGTAAATATTACAAGTACTTAACTGTTTCGAAGCTTATAAATTTACAAAATTTCCAAGTACCAACGACAAAAATTACTGTTTTGTTGTAATTTCAACTAAGCCCTTGAGCCAATTGTCTATGTAAATTTATAACTTTAAGAATAATTTATTTTTCACCCGTACTCGCAAAGTTTCTCCGACAAACAATCAAAATGACACGAAAATTTAATTTATACATTCATCGTTATAAAGAAACGGTACAAAACGGACGTAGTATTATATTTGAATTCTTCCTTTTTCACATCAAAGATTTTTAATTCTTCGTACTCTTTTCAAACTCAAAATCAACACAACACATTTTTCAAACTTCTCAATAAAAGCAGTATCTTTTTCCCCGCAATATACTCACGGTGATTTATTAATAACGCTGAAGGCCTTTATAAGTTTTTCCTCTAATAAGCTCTGGGTCATCGGGTGGGGGATATAGACGGACTGATTGCCAACGAGGTGCTCGCAAATTTTTCCCACGTAAAGCTGAAACAATTTTTTTCATTGTAATCGTAAATTCGAATGAAAGTAGCGATGTTATTTATTTCTCAAACAATAGACACACACCTCACAGGTACCGTCATGATTGTCCTTGCGTCCTGGCAGCGAAGACGCGCCAGGTAAACTGGCGAGACTGACACCCGCTGGCAACTGCATGTTGACATTCTTAAGGCCGCTGATTTCAGACAGATCTATGGTGCTGCTTTGTGAGTTAGTCGGCCGAGGAATAGGAGGATTCTTTATAAACGGATTTGACGACGATCCACCTTCCGAGCTGTCAAATTTGTCATCGTTGCTGTGAATCGAAATTTCGCTCATGAGTGTCACAGGCTGGTTAACTTTGTCGTTGCTTCGTTTGTTTTCATTCGTGTTAAAATAACCATTTTTTCTAATCACTTTTTACAAATGATATCGTATCAGTTAATCGGTTTTTTTTCTTTTTTTTTTTTTTTTTTTTTTTTTTT